ATGGATATCAAAACTTTTCTAAAGTGTATTTTAGCATTCAGGGGCTTTTACATGAGCCTGGCTAGGCTGGCCCGGTTAACTGAGGCGCCCGGCTTATTACAAATTCTTTAACAAAACAATTTTAGTTTATATGTCTAGCCCGCCTAGCCGAGATCTCACTCGAGTCAAACAGGGCGCCTGGCTAACCGGGCTGAAATTTTCCCATGTAAAGTCACCAGCCCGGGAAACCTCTTTGCAGCCCGGGTAGCCGGGCTAGCGAAAAAACTTCTGTACAAGCTACAATATCGATTTGAATTAGTATTTTTTGGACAAATAGTTATTTCTTAAGTTGTTCTTAACATGCATTTGGCTTGTGTGACAAATTTCCCCCCGCCATATTTGGCTTGATAAAGTTTCAGCCCTGTTGATTGGGCTAAGCCAGGCTCACGTAAACAGCCCCTTAATGGATTTGTACACTATATGTCACATGTGGTTGCTATGGTAATGTGAATTAATTTGCTAATTATTTTCTAACAAGATGATATTTTGTATTGTTTTCTTTCCCTGCTTTTGCTAACATTAGAGCACTTTTCATTAGCCCTTAGTGTTCCTAGCAGTCCTTGTCGTAAGCAGACAAATAATTTTCCTAAAAATTGTCCTTTTTTTATCAATTTCTTCAGGATCATTGCAATGGTAACATAATTAACCCATTAAGCTGCAGAGCTAGCATTATGTGGAACTAACAAAACCAGTAAGTGGGATGAATTTTTGTTTATATGTCAGAAAGTTTCATATAGGAAAGCTGTCACCTCTCTTGTCTTAGATCAAAATTACCTTTGCTTACCTCAGGATGAAGTAAGAATATTTTTTTCTGAGAATAGGCCCTTCCAAGGTTAAGGATGCCATCTTGAATATATTGTTTTCACCATTGTGTTTGTACCCCTTGCAAATTTACCTCCCCTATAGGGAATTCCATTGCGTTTGCTCCCCTTGTACTATTGTGTCATTATGGCATTGTCAAACTTGGAAGGGTCTATTGCTTTCAGTTATGGAGGCTTAACACCATATACTGAGTTGATTTGATTAACCCTTTAAGTGGCAATGCACCCCATTGTGCCTTACTTTAGTATTTTACTCTGTCTAATGCCAAATGATTTTACTCAGCATCAGGTTTGAGCAATTCAAACAGTGATAGTACTTAAAAAAGGCCTGTGCTATACATAGTGATATCTCTCTTATCAGGCAAACCCAGCTTTTGCAGGAAAATCTCCCATGTTTGAACCTCTTTCAACATACTGCTCTTATTAATTTCATTGGGAAAAAAACATAGGTGGGTGGGCATGGGCAGGAACCAATTAGATCATGTATACACATTGTAATAAATTTTCAAAAAATATCAGATTTTCTAAGAAGATCTTTTCTTGCAGGCTATTAAGAAAACATGAAACGAAACAAGATGAAATGAATATTTATTAAATTACAGATTGTGATACAAATTTAATTATGATACAAATTTATCTATTGTGTGGATATTACAAAAAGTTTATAGGATGTACAAAATACTCTGCAATGTACCAACATCTGTCATCATAATCATATCTTCAAGGTTGTAAAAGTAATATCGCAGAGATCTGTAAAAAATATACTTTCATTGTAAACTTAGAGGGAAAGAAGTATTCTTTTGTGTAGCAGTGGGATGGATTTACTTGGGGGTATTGGGGGAGGTGGTTCTTTGTGAAATAAAGTATTGGGTCTTTATGACTTTATAGACAATTTTGATTTCCAAAAATTGACATGCCTGTCTGGGGTCCATAGTGATGATGCATCCTACCTCAGTTGTTGGTCAGGCCCTAACCTGCCATCAGGCCTATAAATAAATAAATAGGCCTGAAACAAACCTAAACAAAAGTCCATGCCTTACAACCGTATTTCAGTTGTAAATCTGGTTGGTCTATGAGACAAAAGATTTTTCAATCCGTCATTTGATTGGTTGGTGTTAATTAGATTATACTGTTGTTGTTGATATATTTTATAGTGATCACAACTATAATCAGATTGTCGTTGTGCGAAATTTTAATTTGTTGTCGTTGTGCGAAATCTTAGCGACCCTCATACCACATAAGTTATATGCATGAGGGAAAGTAGGTTTCAACTATTAATTCAACTTGCAATTGTTACTTATATCCCATGAAATTTTGGTTTCCAATTACTTTAATATACTGTATACATATACCGTAAACCTCCGACTATAAAACCTGGCTTATATACTTTCATAAGCGATTTTTGATGGGCTTATACAAGGGGGGCTTATACCCAATGATCTTTTGTGTTAGTGTTAGTAATAAACAAGTCAAACATAAACAAGTCAGTCATAAACAGGAAATTAAAAATGTATTAATATATCAATTCGGGGGAGTTATATTCCGGGGGGGGGGCTTATATTCAGGGGGGGCTTATATTTGGAATGAGGTGAGGTTTAGTACATGTGGTGGGCTTATACATGGGGGGGGGGCTTATATTTGGGGGCATAGATGGATTTTGTGGGAGGGTGCAGGGGGATGCTCCTGCCCAATAATATATAACCCCCAAGCTAAAATTTCAACCCCCCCCCAATATTCGGCATAATAAAAAATAATTAAATAGTCCACTCCAACGTGCAGAGTGTTGATGATACAAAATAAACGTAGGAGTACACTCAAATAGAAAAAGACAGTGGAATACTCTGAAACTAATTTTTCGAATCTAGAAATCAATTTTTTTCCGGGATACTTTGTTTTCTGCTCTCTAGACTCCCACTCGTGGCTCTAGTGCTCCACCCCTAGAATATAGACCCTACTGGGGTTTGGTGACACTTTGTGTTGCTTCAGTCACCTGCTTGCGGCTCACCCCCCTAAAATTTCTGGCACCACCCCAGTAAAAAAAACATGAAAATCTGTCTATGTTCGGGGGGGGAGGGGGGTGCCTTATAGTCGTAAGTCGGAGGTTTACGGTACCAGTACATCACAACTCTTTATATCAGAAAGGGAACTTGTAGTGACTAGCATGGTATACCTGAAACACTGCAACAGTTGCATGTGTACAAAACAGTATGAAGTTTAAAATTGCAGATACATGGACTATGTGCACTTGCAGTGAAATGTCTTTATATGGAAATATGCAAAAGTACCAGAGGCGAAAAACTGTTTACAAATACTCAAATTGACAAATTCTTCCTTGAAAATTCAAACAGAGTGCTTTACAATTTTGCATGTACATATATTAATGAGTTGTGAACAGGCAGGCCATCATTCAAAGGACGAAAGCAGTCACTTTCAATCAGTTTTATATTAATATTATTATAGATGATGGGTTTGAATGCTCAGTGCTCACTCCTGAGTCAGATACATGTGCACATTTTATATAATAATAATTCAAATAACAGTTATTAAATACGATATTACACTTACCATGTCATCTGTCTTTATATTTGGCAATGTTTTGGCTCGTAACATAGACAAAAATTCAGTAAAATTCTGTTATTTGTCTTCGCAAATTTTGGGAAACTTTTAAAACCAAGATGGCGGCGCATTATTTTTTCGCGAAGGCCTGGCCGCTAAGCTTTGATCGCTTTTCGGAAAAAATACGCGACTTTTTAAAAAATCTCCTCTTTAATGGCTTTATCGATAAACTTTGAGTTTGCAATAAAATGATTTCAAATTCTCGCTTGCAAATAACTTTGCTTTCTTTTTTATTTAAAAAATTCAATATAATAAAAAAGGGAATCAATATTAAAGATACACTGAAATTATATGCTGTCTTGTTTAGTTGTTTCATATACGCAAAGGCCGTCGGGTTTGAAATTCATTATAAAATCAATATTTAAAACAAACTTACCTTCGTTAACGTCGGCTCCCTTCCTTTAGCCGATTCTTTCGCCCTTTCTTTATGAGAAAACTTTGAAATTTACAAAATCTTGCAAAAATGCGAACAAAAAATTCATCAATCATCAAATCAAGAAATGTTTGCTATTTCGCTGTCGTCATGCAGTCGTTATAATCCTTATAATGCAAATTTTAAATTGGACCAATCAGTGTCCGCTATTCATGACAGTCCGTCATATATTTGAGATCAGTGAGGATGACCACCCACGGTTGGTCACCCACACCCGCGATATTTGATAACTTTAGACTCCGCTAATGCTTTCGTTTCCCCGGGAGTAAATAGCCGGGGGGAATTAGTACCCTCGCACGGCGCTTCGCGCCGCCGGCTCGGGGAAAAGTAATCAAAGTACAGTTGACACCGAATAATTTTAGTGCAGCAAAAGGAATACGTGAAATAAAATTTAAGTTTTAGTGGCAATACAGTGAAAGAATCAAACACAATGTGTTGAAATTATGTCGCTTCTATTCGAAAAACATACCTGAACACGAGATTGTTGTTTCGAGGTTTTATCTTTGGCACCAGCAATGGATCTGGTGACTCTTCTCTCGTTGCCAGATTCATCATGGGTGTTATTTTCCCTTTTTGCCTTCTTAACGTTTTCACATCTTTGATCACCTGCATCAGCAATATCAAAACTGTCGCTTGATACGTCAATTTCTATTTTTTCTCCGCAAATTTCGTGTTTATCCTCGACCTTTCTCTTATCACCCACTTTCTTCTTGCTCTCTTTCTTTTCGCTCACAGGTGTCGTCTTTACTGACAGAACAGTAAGCTGTTGGGATCCTTGATCAACTGACTCCACAACATCCCTTTCTTCTCCTTGTTTTACCTCCTTGGCAATGTTACTTTCAACATTAAGATAACTAGAGGATATTTGTTCATAGTTTTCAGCTTCAGACACAAAGGTGTCAAAAGGATTGGTGTCTAAAAAAGCTATAAAATCCGCATATTTAGAATTAACTGAGAATTACATTAAATGAGATCAAGTCTGTTCTGCGCATGTGCTATGTGAGGCCAGCTGATGTAAACAATACCCAAATTTCGTTGTTTCGACATCTTCTAAAAAAAGCATAGCGAACCAGAACGATATTAATATTAATATTAGATATTAACTAAATGCATCATATTTTATAAATATAGTGCCTTCAAAATGTAAACAAGCTACACAACCGCTCAACAGACTTGATTAAACTGCACATCCGCTCAACAGACTTGACCTCTTTACGCTTGTACATGCATGAATAAGCATGACGAATATGTTTGCGATGTCACTCTGAGTGCGTATCCACACCGGGCGAGCTTGAAAAATATGCCCGGCCACGGTGGGATTCGAACCTACGACCTTTGGAATACTAGCCCAATGCTCTTCCAACTGAGCTACGCGGTCAGGACGGTTCGAGTAAGTGATATTTCGGAACAGTAACTAGTTCCTTCAATACCAATGTGTTCTTGTAATATGAATTTTTTCTGTGCTGGTGTTGTGTACTCAGGTGAATAATAAGGAACTAGATTCTGTTCCGAAATATCACTTACTCGAACCGTCCTGACCGCGTAGCTCAGTTGGAAGAGCATTGGGCTAGTATTCCAAAGGTCGTAGGTTCGAATCCCACCGTGGCCGGGCATATTTTTCAAGCTCGCCCGGTGTGGATACGCACTCAGAGTAACATCACAAACATATTATTCACCTGAGTACACAACACCAACACAGAAAATATTCATATTACAAGAACACATTGGTATTGAAGGAACTAGATACTGTTCCGAAATATCACTTACTCGAACCGTCCTGACCGCGTAGCTCATTTGGAAGAGCATTGGGCTAGTATTCCAAAGGTCGTAGGTTCGAATCCCACCGTGGCCGGGCATATTTTTCAAGCTCGCCCGGTGTGGATACGCACTCAGAGTAACATCGCAAACATATTATTCACCTGAGTACACAACACCAGCACAGAAAAAAAAAGCATGACGAAGTTACGAAATTATGTGTTTAGAGTTACGAAATTATGTGTTTAGCTAATCTTACTATTTTACAGTAATGTAACTTCTTTGGTCACACATATTCTACGTACGCTTACACGCCCGTCTTGACACAAAATAGGTTGTCTTGCCAGGGCCTCCCAGAGAGGGGAGGCAAAGAGGGCAATTCCCCACGGGCCTCCAGTTAAAGGGGGGCCCAAAATTTCCAAAGGGGGGGCTACAAAAAGTGTAATTAAAAAAAAATTATTTGGAACGTTTTTATATAAATAATGGTAGTATGAGAAAAATGTTTTAGACCCTACTGGCTACCCGAATTAAAAATGTGTCCCGGGCGCCCGAACTTCTCTGGAAGGCCCTGTGTTGTGCACTGTTCCTATAATCCTGTTGAAATCCTAATAAGTTTGGATTACCTTAATGAAAATAGACTTATTGTTAAAGAAAAGCAAAGGATGTACTCATACAGTGTATAGGAATTAGGATCATGACCAAGTGCTACAAAACACGTACAATGTTGGGCGGATTATGTTATGGTTTAGGTATGCACTACAGGGTCGAAATTTACATTTGCTTCGACCAAAAAACCGGAATAGTAAATGTTGGAAATTTCCGTTTAGTTTCGATTACGTACTATGTTCACATCCTGTTTCGAATGTACAGTACACCTATCATATGAACCTTTAGCTAGCAGGACGGTGACGGCTGTTAGTACAATGAAATCTATGATACTGTAGAAAAGAAATAATTAAAAGTCCCTTGGGGGCTTTTAGACGTCGTCCTCGCTCTGTTAATCAGCAAACCAAAGGTTTTCCTATTGCTAAGCGTCCCTAATATTTTCAGTAAACTACCTAAATCCGGCACGATTTACGGAATATATATATATATACAAATTGGTTTTCTCCTTCTGCCGTATAGTGCTCTACACCAAAGTGGAGCTAAGTTAAAATTAAAAATTAAAGATTAAAACCTAAGAATGTTCATTAAAAATTGAAAAGCACCACAGTTCTGTTTCGAGAGGCCCTTTCTAGACCCTCTCTCTTCAGGTGCATGATCAGATTACACTAAAATATCCCATTTATATACCGATCGTAATTCATAGTGTCATAAAGCCTAACCGTTTTTAATTAAAAATTTGTTTGCATGCCGGCATGCACTAGCCAGTTCGTTTCTTTTGTTTAGAGTAGAAGTTTCCGGTTTACAAATGATGAAATATTTTCCCATTATACATAAATTACATTTTTTCCCAATATTTGAATACGGATTTGCACGTGCCATTATTTTCCAGTCTACAGCGTATCTAATGTTATTGTCTTTTAGGGACCAAATGTGCTTGCTTAACTCTGTGGAGTTTCTCTTGTTGTTGTCACGGAATATATGAATGTGTATATCCATCTTTTAGACTACTGGAGTGGAGTGCTGATAAGCAGGATGAAAGTAACTGCTATTTACAGCTACCTTTGATGCCTCACGATTGTGGGACATCAAAACCATGCCAGAGCGCTCAAACTGCAAGCAGTGAGCGTGCGCAATGCGTAAGCGGCAATGGCTCATCCTGTATAGAGCGCTCAATATGACCTAAAGGCCATAGAGCGATATCTAACTACAGACGGTACCGTTTCGGCCTTATGGGCCTATATACTAATTCAGTTTCTTCGAACGTATATATATGTAGTGAAGAGTGCTCAATATTATTATATAGAGCGATTTATTAAATCTTAAAATGTTTTTGTTGCTACTCCGAGTTTCATGCCGTAAAGGCAATCATCAGGCAACAGTTTTTGCTTCTGAATGTCAGTTTGTTGATGTTTGCTGACGATACTCGCTTGCTTACGCATGTACATAAATTCATAAATTGCGCGCGCGAGTATATGTAATGTTACGCGCGGTCGTAATTTCCCGCTAAGAATCTTTTTTGGTAATTGACACTTTGAGAAAATCTCGGATCTTGAATTTAGCACGAGTTTCTTGTTTGCTTTCAGGATGCATAGTTTCTCTTGAGTGCACAAGCTACACTGCTTTCCACCGCTTGAATACGGCGCGGCATGTTTTAAAATTGACCAGGTTAAAGTGAAAGGTCGTCCACTTTCTTTTAGCTTCCAGATGTATTTGGACAGTTCCGTCTCGTTCTTGTAAGTGTCGTTCGTAAATGATTTTTTGTAGTTTCTGTAACGTTCTTTAAAAGAATTTGCAGTCATTTCGATGTAGCGTTTAATTTCTCCGTTACTCTGGTTGTGACTTCAGCTTGATAAACAAGGCTGCTTTCCAGGCAATGCTTTCCAAGTGGGCATTCGTTCGCTTTTCTGCAGTTGCATTTCTTTTCAAGTACGGCTCAGGCTGTTGTGTTAGAAGTGTTTGTAGCGTTTGTTGTCTTCGAGAGAATGCGGTGGTAAAAACGCGAACGAATGCCCACTTGGAACAGCCAAAAAAGATTCTTAGCGGGAAATTACGACCGCGCGTAACATTACATATACGCGCGCGCGCAATTTATGAATTTATGTACATGCGTAAGCAAGCGAGTATCGTTAGCAAACATCAAGAAACTGACTTTCAGAAGAAAAAACTGTTGCCTGATGATTGCCTTTACGGCATGAAACTCGGAGTAGCAACAAAAACATTTTGACCCAAAACATGCATAAATACAATGGGAATTTAACATAAGTAAAATGCGATATATATATATATATATATATATATATATATATATATATATATATATATATATATATATATATATATATATATATATATATATA